GAGGACTGTCACTTTTTGCTTTTCCTGTTAGGGGTCGCCACAGCAAATCGTCACACTGACCATTCGCATGTTAACATTTGGCACGTACTTTACGCCGGATACATCTAATTTATTTTTGAATGGCACATGATCTACCAACACTACCTTTGCAATCGACATATTGTGCACCCCTGCTCTATGTGATGTATATAGTGTTTTAATCCAGTGGATGAAAGACTCTCCAAAACCAAACCTGTGTAGTGTGCTGAAGAGAGATGACAAGTTAACTTTGTCGAAAGCTTTTTCTGCCATTATGGTGTCGGTTGTTGTTTTTTTTTTTGTTTGTTTGTTTTTTTTTGTGCAAGATTGATTAAGTTAAATAGTCTACGGGTGTTACCCAAAGTGTATCTACTTTTAATTAAGCCTGTCTGGTCTGGGTGGATTATTATTGGAGTAATTGTCTCTATTCTAGTGGCTAGTGCTTTGGTGATAATTTTTAAATCTGTGTTAATAAGTAACAGAGTACAGTAACTGGAAGGGTGGGTTGGGCCTTTATTGGGTTTACTGGGGCACTTCATGAGGAAGGATATGTGTGGATATACAGTACTGAAATAATATCTTAGGACATCAGCCAGGAAGTTAAAGCTTGGCTGCAAATGGGTTTTCCAAATGGACAATGACCCCACGGAGACTTCCAAAGCTGTAACAAAATGGCTTAAGGACAAAGTCAAGGTATTGGAGTGGCCATTACAAAGCCCTGATCTCAGTCCAATACAACATTTGTGGGCAGAACTAAAAACTCGCATGTGCAAGCAAGGAGGCCTCCAAACCTGACTAAGACTACGTTCACACTGCAGGTCTTAAAGCTCAGATCGGATTTTTTGCCGAAATCCAATTTTTTTGAGCTGTTGTTCACACTGTCATTTAAATGCGACTGCCATCTGTCTCGTGTGAATGGTATACGGCCCTGAGGTGACTCGCATGTGCAGAAGAGGACGTGACGTCGGACACAGCGTACTGTGTTTGCGAAAATAAAAATGGATGCGGCTCGTGATAGCATGTGCGTAGCGATGTACCAGTTAATGTGGAATCGAAATAAAGAAATAAGAAGAAGAATATCAAGAAGGAGGAGAGCACAAATATTGCTTATGGCCTTTTGTGGAGCAGTGGCTGCTACCTCTGTACAGAGGAATGTGTGGGTGCGGAGTCGGAGCCAGGACTGGTGGGATTCCGTGAGGGGCTTCACGGACACAGAATTCATTAATAATTTCCGAGTGAGAAGGGAAACGTTTGAATGGACCTGTCAGCGCCTCTCTGTAAGCCTTGCATGGCAAGACACTAATCTCCGGCGACCCATATCTGTGAGCAAGCGTGTTGGAGTTCGGCTGTACTGGCTGGCAACAGGCTCATGTTATCGCACAATATCCAACCTGTCTAGAATCGCAAAGTCCACTGTTTGCTTGATAGTCCAAGAATTTTGCAAAGCAGTTCGTCATGTCCTCATGCCTGAGTACATTAAACTGCCTCAAGGAGGTCATCTGCAAGAAGTCATAGAAGGGTTCAGACAGAGATGGGGTTTCCCTCAGTGTGCCGGAGCAATAGATGGGACTCATATTCCCATCATTGCTCCTGAAGACAACCACGCTGACTATTTTAACCGCAAAGGATGGCACTCTGTGGTCCTGCAGGGGGTCATCGATCATCAATTTTGGTAGGCCTTTCATAAAATACTAATTTTGGGCCATCAAAAAATAATATACGATTTGTGTGGTCAAATGTATATACTCACACCTCAATAGTAAGAATTTGTAGTTGCAAATAGCTTGTTTTTCTGACAGCCATACTTATCCCAAATCTAGAAATAGAACAGTATTTTTAGTCGTTCAGAATTTAAGTAGATGTTGTATCAGAGCGGTACTGCTTCAAAGATTAGTTGCAGATTTCTTTTCATTGTTGTTTGATTCAAAATATATATAACTCATTCCATGTGTCCTCAACAGTTTCACCAACATCTACACTGGATGGCCTGGAAGTGTCCACGATGCCAGGGTTCTTAGGAATTCCAAGATCAACACAATGGCAGAGAGAGGGGAGCTTTTTCCACAGTGAGTGGTTTTTTTTTTTTTTTTTGTTTTTTTTTAAATCACACAACCCCACACATTTGGAGACCCTGAACAGTAACTGAAACAAGAACATTTTCCCATTCTGTCTTGTTAATTAAATTTCCCTCATCTTGTATTCCCATCATCAAAGGAAATTGAAGAGATAATGGGTGTTCAGGTGCCAATCATGCTGCTCGGCGACCCTGTCTATCCCCTGCGAAACTGGCTGCTAAAAGGATACAGTGACACAGGGACCCTGACAGATGCGCAACGTTACTTCAACATGCACCATAGCCAAGCTAGGATGACAGTGGACTGTGCTTTCAGCCGACTGGAGATGCGGTGGAGGTGCCTAGGGAAATGCCTGGATGTGGACATCTCCGCTGTCCCAACCATCATAAGTGCATGCTGCATTCTCCACAATGTGTGTGAAAAGCATGGAGAGGCCATCGAGGAATATGGTGGAGCTGTTCTTCATGATGAGACAGTGTCAGAAGGAGAGGTCTTACCAGATGTTCAACCAATAGGACTACGTTCACACTGCAGGCTGAAGTGACTCAAATCTGATCTTTTTGCCCAAATGTGACCCATATCCGATTTCCTTATGACAGTGTGAACAGCACAAATCCGATTTTTTCAAATCCGGCCCAGGCCACTTTCATATGTGGTCCTAAATCGGATATATATCCAATGTTTTGCAATGCGACGTCAGTCTGAATGGCCAGGTCGCATTTCATGTGACTTTTATGTCATTGAAATGCGACAGACGTCACAATTCTGCGCTGGAGGAGGCGAGGCCATAAGCAACATTTGTGCTCTCCTCCTTCTTGATGTTCTTCTTATGCCTGGACTTTCAGGCACCTCTTCAGCTGAAACAGTAGAGCAGCTGTCGAGTAGCTCTATTGGCTGACAGCTCGGTTTGTCGCCCAAAATATGGTCAAGCTCGTCATAAAACGGGCAGGTGACGCGACCATGACCGCTTCGTTTGTTTAAGTCTTTAGTTTCTTTAAATTTTGCCCTGAGGTTCTTCACTTCCCGCTGACACTGTATCCACGTCCTGCTGTGCCCTCGCTCGGCCATTTCTTTAGAGACACTCTCAAACACGGCACGGTTCCGATAGGACCCTTCAAGTTTTGCTTGCATCGCATTCTCACCCCAAGTACTTAAGTTGTGCACGTCACCATCTTTCCACTGACCACCTGAATCACCATTGTCTGCCATTATGATTACCCCTCGCCTCCTCCAGCGCAGAATTGTGACGTCTGTCGCATTTCAATGACATAAAAATCGCATGAACATCACACAAACGAAGTTCATGTTGTATGCACATGACTCACCTTTCAGGTAAATCTGTGCATGCATGGCAGTTTAGGACCTCAACAGTGTTCACACCATAGCCAGATGGACATATGACACAAACATGAATCTGAACTATTGACACAAAAAGACCGGAACTGAGCATGTAATGTGCACATAGTGTTAGTTTACCTCTACTATTTAGTTGTCAGCACTTGTACTTGCATTTTTTCTGAACCACACTATGAAACCAGTTTTACAACAGCTCTTTACCATTCTAGTAGTGGTTTCCAACTTTGTTCCGAATGTCATGTTTGCCAGCCAGAAGAGTGGCAGTGGCATTTTTTCTGAACCACACTATGAAACCAGTTATACAGTGCATCCAGAAAGTATTCACAGCACTTACCTTTTTCCACATTTTGTTAGGTTACAGCCTTATTCCAAAATGGATTAAATCCATTATTGTCCTCAAAATTCTACAAACAATACCCCATAATGACATGTAGCATCATACTCAAAAGGACTTGAGGTTGTAATTGGTGCTAAAGGTGCTTCAAGAAAGTATTGAGCAAAGGCTGTGAATACTTATGTACATGTGATTTTTTTTCTTTTTTTTTTAAATAAATTTGCATAGATTTTAAACTAACTTTTTAACATTGTCATTATGGAGTATTGTTTGTAGAATTTTGAGGACAACATTTTACATTAACTGTGTTAAAGCAATCAACTCTGAAATGTTTAACTTTCAACAATTTCAACATTCTAATTTTTACTGTGTATATACACAGATCACTTACTCTAGGTAAACACAGGGGTCAGAGGCTGCGTGATAGCATCTTGAAATAAGGCTGTAACATAAAATGTGGAAAAAGTTAAAACGCTTTGAATACTTTCTGGATGGACTTTACAACAGCTCTTCATCATTCCAGTAGTGGTTTCCAACTTTGTTTCAAATGTCATGTTTGCCACTCAGAAGAGTGATAGTGGCAACTTCTGCATAAAGTGACATCACACGCACACCCTTTATTCAAATCCTGAAGCACCACTATTCTTGAGGTAGTTTCTCCTAATGAACCACACCTGGTCTCAATCAGCTTGACACCAAGTGTTGATCATTAACATCACAGTCAAAAAGCACATAAAAGCAAGTGTTAAGAAAGGAGAGAAAGCCAAGTATTTTCAACATTATCCAGTATGGAGAACGAACGTTAGTAACAATAGACTGCAGATGAGTCAGAGAGCTGGTCAGCATTTAAAAACAGTGTCACAGCAAAGAGAACCTGTTGTCCAGCCCCAACAAAGGAACAGAATAGCATGGCAGCAAAGTTAGTAGTCAAATTCCCCAAGGACGTCTTTGCTTCTGCAAGACAGACCAATTGTATCAAATTGTTTGATTTTGGATTTTATGGTGCTTCTTCAAATTTATAATGCTGTTTAGCATCATTATATCAGGTGTGTATGTGTGTGTGTGTGTGTCAATTTGGCACTTTTATTCTTTTGAAGCAACTGCTTGTTGGTTAGGGACTAAAACAATATCTAATAGTCCTAAATACAATAATGAATGAATATATGAGCAATTGGTGTCTGGAAAAAAAAAACGTCGCTTGGCTGTTTGCTACTAACCTTTCATGTTAGGCTTGGGTTTGTCAGTTTGCTTGCCTGTGGGGGTTTGTGCCTGCTGGCCCTGGGCCCCGGACGAGGCCCCCTGCTGGGCTGCTTTCTGTTTCAGCATGGTCCAGTCAAATGTGTAGTCATATTGGTGGTTCAGAGTCCTGAAACACACAGAAACATTTTATGCATGTCCCCCACAATCATTGTTTGAAAGATTATGAAAGAACTGGAAATGATTGAATGAAACAATGAAAGCAACGCCAGAGAAAGTTGTAAGAAATATGAGGCGGTAAAATCAGACAGGATGAAAGGAGGAAAGAAAAAGAACGGGGAAAACTTATGTGCTCAGCACCATATAGTTTGCACCTAATATAGCTTGTTTTATTTGTGCATATGCACTCAGAAAATATCAAGAAAACAGTGAAGGACTGGGAAAAAAAAAATGTATGCACTGTGAAGCAGCTCCCTCACTACTGCAAAGAAAGGACTTTCATCAAAAGTAACACATTAGCATATTATAATATATTAGCAGTTCTTGATGTAGATAACAGCTTTTCAACAATATAAAATCAGTAACCAAAAAACTAACTCCTCTATGGTACAGTCAAACTTGTGAATATAACATTAATTAGCTGAAACTGTAAAAGTCATCATTTTAGCCAGGACATTTTGCAAACTTGTCTTTACACTAAGGCTTATTTTGTCATAAGTAGTTTAAAAAAAAGACTTAAATCAACACTGCTATCAAGGCTTTCCTCTGTAAAAGGGTTCGCTTTCCATTATGTATGTTTACCTGAAGAGGATGCGGAACAGCTGGCGCAGATACATGTAATCTGGAGCCTCCTCAAAGCGCAAGCCACGACAGTAGTTCAGATACATGGCAAACTCAGCTGGGAAACCCTGGAAACATGCATTCACACAAATGAGTTGTGTGGATGGGGACCAAGATATCCTGCATCATTGTTCCTGTTTAATACTTTCTTACCTTACAGAGGACCTCAACAGGGGTGGACATCTTCTTCTCTGAAATCTTCTCATACTTCTGCTTTTTTGTAGCAGCCTGACAAACAAAGTGTGCTTATGTTCATTCTTGGGGTCCAGTAGTAATGCTTTTTCTTATATGTTTTTATAGACATTGAAAATTTTAATGTCTTAAATTCAACATACCTTACCTAAAAATATGCCATAATTTCAGTAAAAGTAACTGCTGTTCAACATCTATTAACTCCAACATGCCCACTGTCACCAATGTTTGTTCACCAAAAAAACCTAAACACAGTGGTGAAGAACCTCAATATAGGGGCATATAAACCCCACTGCCAACTACTGTGTTGGTGGTGTACATGCAGTGTGAAGCAGACACACCAGCGCACAAGTATAAATGTCAACAACAGCATAGGCAGAACCATAGATCAAGCTCAAGTCCCCCTACATATAGCATTGTTAGTAGTATGTAAATATGTACTGGTTTTTAACACTAATGATTCAAGTGTACTAACATATTTGTGCTAACTCCTGTGAACACCCAAAAGGGGTGCTGCTGTATGACCAATTAATTAATGACAATATAGTAAACGCATCTGAATTATATTCGACAGTCTACATAGCAGACATTAGAAGTAGTGTAAACATCAATAAACATAACAGTCAATTATGAACCAGGTATTACATGTTTAACTCCCCCTATGGGGTATTTTTAAGCAGTAAATAAAGTAGAGTGTTACCAAAAAGTAACATGCAGAAGGCAACAGAAAAATGCACGAGAAGAGATGTGGATGAAGACCACAGACGGTTATATTTTCATACCTTTAACCCCTGCCACGGCAGACTGGTTCTGTTGAAGTACATCAGCACGTAGCCTAGTGATTCCATATCATCACGGCGACTGGAGACAACAATAATGCTGGGTTTATACTGGTACAGAAGTTTGTCATAAAATCTTCTCTAACATAATGAAAAAATGTTGAGTAGAGATTTCATGCATTACTGTCATGGAATCAAAAAAAGCATGAAGCTGGTTGCACTGGTGTTAAGACCAGGATAAACTCCAGCTCAAATCTTAGGGTGCTCTGCCCAATAAGGAATGCAGTTCACATGTTTTCAAATGCCCCCACCAAAACTTTTAATATTTAGCTGGATTACTAGAATCTAAATAAACAAACAACATTAAAAGTTGTTTGAGGAGCAAATAAATTGCACACAAACCTCTGTTCAATGCCCAAATGTGCATTGATGGAGGCATAGCGCGCTGTGCCAGTCAGGTTCTTGTCTTCTCTGTAGGGGATGTGCTGCCGTGTTCGGTTGTCTCGGTACTTCTTTGCCAAACCGAAGTCAATAAGGAACAACTGATGGAGAAGGAGAGAGCATAAAGGTTATCTAACAGTGATATCCCACGGACAAGTGACAATCTGTTCTGTTCATCAGAAATTAAGATATTCAAAATTAATTCCACACTTTCTATATTTTATACAAAAGGTTTCTTCTGTAAAACACAAAGGTCAAAAACATTGCAATGATTGAGGAGATCCTTGTGACAACATTAACAAGTACAGGGGGGGCAAGTGTTATGTCAACAACTATGTCCCTAAAAGTCACTTCTCACAGCAACAGTTCACTTAACACCACAGTAAAACTAGACGGCTTCTAGATGTGCTCTGTGAAAGCTGCAGATGACACATTTTTACCCCCACTTTATTTTTGTTCCATACGACTGTGTATTGCTTTCTTTTAATCAATAAAGCACTATTTAAATATGATGTAAAAACACAGGAAGACAAATTCAGGTTATTACTCCAGAACAACACACTACAAGAAGGTTGTGATACCACACTTAGTAAAATCACCTTTGAAATAACTATGTAGTGAAGAAGCAAAAAAGAGTGCAGGAGATGCAGCAGTACAACACAACTAGCACTATGTCAATCCATTGTGTGTTTATGACTGTGGGGTTTCACAGTCAACATCAAGCTGACCACTTTGAGGTCTCTGTGATGCAATGGGCAGCTTTCTTGTCCAACTATGTAGCTGATTTCCTAATGCTATACTGTTCAGTCAACTCTACTGTTTGACCCAGACAGGTTGGACTGTGTGTAACAGAGTCAGATTTTTTCCATCAAGCTGACATATGGCACTTGTAATTCTTAATGGCTTGTAATTTAAACAGAGTAAAACATCCAAGGTATGTTCAGTGATCATGCATAAGCTGAACATTCATCAGCAAGCAGACCAAAAACACACTGAACTCACCTGAATGTCAGCATGCCTGTGTGCCAACTGGTAAACAAGTCAGACAGCCGGGTTATATTTCGACTTTCCACTCGCCCAGCCACCACATTCACCAAAAAGACAATCATGGATTCTGAGAACAGTAGCAGGGAGCATCTGTTTCAGCATAGGTTGTTCTGTGTCAGCCTATCTAGCTGCATACTTCCACAACAGCTGACCCATGAGCCATATGTAGTTAATTAATGTTTGCCAAAGCAGTCACTGTCAAAAAAGTGTGTTTTATGTTTTAATAGCATAGCAAATAAAATCCACAGACCAGACCTCTACAAGGGGAATTTGACTGAGCTTAAATTAACTGAACTTTTTAAGATAATCACAGACACCACATTCCAGGTACAGCAGAACTATCAGTTTACTTCATTTTTAAATATGAATTTAACCTCTTAAAATATAACCTCAAAGTGTTTTATTTATCCATCATACAGACACTATAACTGATGAAACAAGACATCTGAAAAATATGTCCCCATAAAGCTCTTCTCATACAAGTGTTGACACCAGAGCTTCTATTGCTATTAAGTTGAAGAACAATAGAATAAACACTGATATGACACCCTAAACTGAAGCCAAGGACTGAATAATCCCACTTCCAGACAACAACCCTAACAGGTAGGATAATGAGTTTCACACATTACCACATCACATATCGATACACACTATAACATGCTAGGACCAAATGTGACCATACCAGACAATCTGGAACAGCAGTTTAAACATACTGTCTGAAAACCGATACATTCAGACAAACTGCAGGTCGGAATATCACGAATTTCTGTGATTTTAGGGGCACCTACTCTCCGGTACACCATACTGGCCAGCCCATTAGCTTTTACAATTTTCTAACTACCCACTATTTTATGTCGGATTCTTCCAAGAACTCTTTACCTATCTGTATTTTAAGTGCCCTTCAAGCCCTAAATGGAGTTAGGTTTTCTAGTCTGTAATTTAGGCATGCTGAAATGCATTTACAAGGCTGCCAGTGGGTATTTTCATTCGCATCATGCACCAGACCAAAATTTTAATAAAACAAAAACTAATTAAAAATGGAGAAAATCAAGTTAATACATTACAGATTCTAACATAAACAATTTAATTACAAAGAAGCTTTACACCTCATGTTTGGGGAGTAGGAGCACAAGCAGCAGCCAATGTGAGAAGTTAATTCCTGGTAAAGCATGTAACATTTACAATGGTCTGGCAATGGTCTTAAGCAGCCTTCGTGAAGAGTACTGTGGTTAGGTTTGTTGCACAGCTATCATCATGAATGTTAAGTCGCATGCTCTTATGGCACCCATGGATTTTTTTTTAAGTCAAGTTATGGAGCTGGATTCAGGCAATAATCCATTACCACTCAAGTGATTTAAATGTACTGTTCTTGTAATAACAGACAACTATTACTAAGCTAAAAGGTTTGTTTTGTGGCTTTGTCCTGTTTGACTCTGATGAAGACAACAGTGCCAAAACTGTCACAAAACATAGTCTTATTTGTTTATACAATTAAAAGCAGCAAATTAATCAGTGTGGTCCAGTCCTGCCTCTTCTGAAATGTTTGCTGTTCTGGATCTGAGAAGCACCTGACTCAGCTGCATATTGGTGGAAGACGTACAGAGAATGCCTTTTTGTTCAAACTATTACTGAGCATTTTCATACATAACAGATAAAGGTGGTTAAAGTTAAAGAATTAATCATTGCTCTGCACTACTGTCAGGACAAATATCACATTAGAACTGAACTGGTTTTAATGCGGGTAATCCTCCATACAATTTGTGTGACTGGTACCCTTTCTAAGCAATACTAACTGAAAGTTGGCTTTCCTCTTCCACTGTTACAAAGTGCACAAAGGGTGAACTACATACAATGGGTATTGTGAGTGCAAAATGCGTGCTGGTGGTCTGATTCACTTTAAACCAGTGTAGTTAGGTATGATGGCAAAGCGACAACTGTTGTGAGGCAGCTGGTGTTGTGGTAAAGGTCACACCTGGTTTAATCCTGAGAAAGATGGGTCCTGAGAAGAGCTAACAGCCAAGCTTCTTTTCCTCTTCCCCACTGACGAGTCTAAACACTAGGGCAGACAGTAGAGGGGCAGGGGTCAAAAATCACACAGCCTCTATCCACCTTCAGTCACAGTTAACATGAGTACAACAGGCACTTCGGGTTGCACCCACATGATTTACTCCCTTGAATACAAATGTCCTGTACAACTACAACAGGAACATCTTTCAATACATCCAAGACTGGACCTACACAGGCAAAGTAGCCCACTTTAAAACTTTGCAGTACAGATATGATCATTCTGGCCATCAGTCTAGAAGAAACCACATCAATGCGATTTTCTTCTGTCAGGACAACCATGGAAAGATCAATGCTGTACAACAAGAAGCCGTAAGTGTCTCTGGAAAAGTCAAGAAGTTTATACTTAAATATATCTGTCAGAGGCAATAAATGCCAGTGCAGACGGGCAAAACCATGGCTCAGAAAAGACCATGGGGGGAAAGGCAGATCTGGGCAGCAAATGGCAGAGCCCATGTTTGCCCATCCCCCACCAGCAAAACAAAAAAAAAATATCTGCAAACAAATAGATTTGACAGGCCTTCGAAGAGAATTCTTAAAGTTGAGAATATTTTAACCACGTTCACAGGTGACCACTACCATGGGGGAAATTCCTGTCTGGTTGCATAAAAAACTTGAATTGACGACACCTAAACAGAGACAAGTAATGAGCTTAAAGCTTCATTAGAGATGGGTTGGTATGTGAGAAAATCTGGTAGTAAACCAGCTGTACTGTGGCATTTGACTATCTTACACTAGCAAAAATCTGCATCACATTGAGATCCTTACCAAAGTTTAACTAATCCTTCTCACTTTTCTATCACTCTATGATAGATAAAACTGCCGTACACATTAACTGAGAAATAATGTGAATGGATATTGCAGAGCTCATAAGTTCTGAGAAACCAAGAAATTAAAAATGTACAAACACTCATATTCTTGAGCACAAATTACCACAACATTACTTGTGTACTTGCACAGACTACACCATACTGTAGGCTACAGAGCAATCATACCCACCACACAGCAGTTCCAGCTTGAAGACAATGGATATCTATAAAAATTCCGGTCCTAGCAGTGCTCTGGAGAATGACCCCAAAATAATGCTTTCAAAGTCACATCAACTGAGTAAAACAGAGATCACAGAAATCTGAAAAATATCCTCATGTATATGGACCACTTAAAGAAAATATCTGAGACTAGTTAAACCTCCAAGTCATTCTCAGCCCTGGTCTAAACTGTGCCCAACTCACAGGGAGTACAGAAAGTTTTCAGACCCATTCATGTTTTCCACATTATGTTACAGATTTGTCTGAAAATGAATTCATATTTTCCTCAATCTACACACAATACTCCACAATGATAAAGTGAAAATGGGTTTTTGGAGCGTTTTGTAAATTTTTTTTAAAATAAAAGACTGAAATATCCCATTTACATAGGTTTTTGGACCTTTCATGGTAACTGATTTGAAATTGCCCTCTTCTAAATAACTAATATGAACGAACACTGGATTTTTACTCCAGGACAAGGACAACAGTACAACATAAGCTAGGTGCATAAGCCAAGTATTTAAGGTTATGTCAAAATGATTCCAAACAAGTTTTTACTTAAATTTATGTCACAAATGACGTACAATTTGCCAGCATGGTGCAAAAACATCATGGCACTTTTATTATCTGAAGCTGCCATGTTCGTCATAGCCAACCAGAAATGTTTCAACTAATGGTAAATTGTCTTATACTTGTATAGTGCTTTTTGGCATATTGATGTGCACTCAAAGCCTGTTACATTATTTCCCATTCATACACACATACACAAATCTTGTTTCTTCCATTGTCATAGGGTTTTCTGACTGACCAGACCAGTGTGTGATGACGAGTTACAGCTAACTTAATAATGACGTCTGCATTTCTGCCAAGTGACTGATCCAACCAATCTTAATTGCTGAACTACCGAGAGAGACCGATTGAGGCATCATCCTAAATTAAAAATACCATGAAATGAATAAAGGCTTCATAGAAGTAAAAGACAGTGAATTAAAAAGCCAGCCTTCAAACAAATACTCTAAATACATTAAAGGAATATTTATTCCATACATTTAACTTAGTTTATTGTCAAGTGCATTTTAGTTTCTTAATATCATTATGACCCATCTAGTCTTCTGTATTAATAGTGCTTATTTTAACATAAGAAAACTCTGCTTCATATCCATTATGCTGCATCAAGGTAAACAAAGACCAAAACTTCCAGAGGACTGAATGCAGACCAAACTTTTTAATTCCAAGAACACATTTCTTTTTTGTGCTTGCATTTCTGATTTCTTCCAATAACTAGCTAATCAGGGGTCCTGTTCTTCAAGATTTACATTAAGTGCATAAATATGTGAATGTAATAAATTTTAGTGATTATAAAATTGTTAATGAAACAAACATTGAAAAGAATGACTTCAGTTTTAAATAAAACAATTCCGTGACAAAATAAATGACAAAACATTTGTACTATTATTTAACTTTGGAAACTTGACTTCATACTCAACAGTTCTGCCTTGAAAAACATTTTCATAGTATGCACCAAAGATGTAGCACTTCAATTTTTCAGAAGTGCTCCACTTCTCCTGAAACCAAAACATCTTTCAGGACAAACAGCTGTCTTCCATCATTGAGATTATTTTTCATATAGTGATACAACCATTAATGATTGTGTTGAGACGAAGCAATGTAGCTCTCAGTCAAAGAAGTGATCAATATATAGCATACAGTCATGGTCACACAAAATATTGGCACCCCTGCATTTCTGTCAGATAACACACCATTTCTCCCAGAAAATTGTTGCAGTCACAAAGTTTTTGGTATTCTCATGTTTATTTCTTTTGTTTGCATTGGAACAACACAAAAAGCAGTGAGAGAGACAAAAGCCATATCTGATGCATTGCACACAGAACTCCAAAAATGGACTGGACAGAATTACTTACACCTTTTCAAAAACAGAAACAGTTGTATTTCAACCTTATGATGCCACTTTAATTTGTAATGAAACTCATCTGTAGCAATCAACAGGTGCCGGCAACATAGAAATCACACTTGCAACCAGTTAAAATGGAGACAAGTAGACACCCTTTGTATGGTATGGACCACACTGAGCATGGAGAAAAGAAGGAAGAGCAAAGAATTGTCTGAGGATTTGAGAACCAGAGTGGAACCAACAGTGGAAAAGCCTGGATAATCTCAAGGCTACAAGTCCATCTCCAGAGACATTGCCGTTCCTGTGCCCATTGTGCACAACATTCAAACTGATCTGCAGGCACAGGGTGCAACAGTGTCAGCTCACACTAACCATCACCATCTGAATGTCAAGGGATGCTATGGTAGGAGACCCAGGGGGACCCATTGCTGACACAGAGACATTAAAAAGCCAGACTGGAGTTAGCCAAAACTTACCTGAGGAAGCCACAATCCTTCTGGGAGAATGTCCTGTGGACAGATGCAACTTTTTGGTCGAGCACATCATTCTGCCTTTTTCAGAAAATGAAATGAGGCCTTCAAGGAAAGAACATGGTTCCTACAGTCAAACACAGTGGAGGTTCAATGACGTTTTGGCATTGTTTTGCTGCTTCACGCACTGGATGTCTTGACTGTGTATATGGCATTATGAAATCTGAAGATGAACAATGAATTCTGGGACACAATGTAGGGCCCGGTGTCAGAAAGTTGGGTGTCCCGTCAGAGGTCATGGGTCTTACAGGAGGACAATGATCCAAAGCAGATTTCAAAAAGCACCAGAAATAGTTTCAGGCAATGTGCTGGAGATTCAGAAGTGACCAGTGACGAGTCCAGATCTAAATCCCATAGAGCACCTGTATAGGGATCTCAAAACAGCAGCTGGGAGAAGGAACCTTTCAAATCTGAGAAACCTGGAGCAGCTGGCAAAAGAAGAGTGGTCGAAAATTCTAATAGAGAGGTGGAAGAAACTCAGTGAAGGTTACAGGAAATGACGGATTTCAGCGATGTTTTTGTCCACAGACTTGTGCTACACAATATCAAGTTGAGGGTGTCAATAATTGTGTCCAGTCCATTTTTGGAGTTCTGTGTGCAATGCATCAGATATGGCTTTTGTCTCTCTCACTGCTTTTTTGTGTCGTTCCAATGCAAACAAGAAATAAAAATGAGAATACTAAAGAACTTGTGACTGCAACAATTTTCTGGGAGAAGTGGTGTGTTATCTGACAGAAATGCAGGGGTGCCAATATTTTGTGTGCCATGAGGTTTGTAAGGGCTGCATGATTCTGAGTAAAATATGATCCCCCCCCCCCCCCCCACCACTCTTTCTTCCTTTTCTCTCAACTCTTGAGCAATATATTTCTACATTCATCATACATTTTTGCATTATGAAGAAAATATGACCATTATTGAAATGGAGCTGACTATACTACTAAAGAGAGACCGCTTGTCTGTGTTTAAACTATTGCACCTTAAAACCAATGTTTTTCTGTGTGTGTGTGTGTGTGTGTGTGTGTAAAAACACAAGACAGAGTCAGAAGCCACCATATTTTGAAGTCTGAGTCAGAGTTTTTCAGATAGTGCAGAAATAATGAAGTGATTTTTGATAGAACTGCAATGTGTAAAACATGTAGCACTTGGATCAAAGATATCAGGAGGACAATGAAGCTCACTATTCACAAAAGCAACATGGTGCTACAAGACAGAAAAACACCGGTCACATTACAGTACAGTTAACTGTGAGAACAGTCAGTTTGAGGCAAGTAATAGTGCTAGCATTAGCAGTTACTTTAAGAAACATTGACAATTTCACCTGGACAAAATCAGTGGAGGTATTCTTTGTACATGGATTAACAAGTTAACTGGATAAATTTGAAAATCTCATATGATGTGAGATTTGTTGGCTCTTCCAAAGACTCACAGGATTTGTCATGGCAACATGTCCATAATCTCAAATCTACTCAGGAGCACACTTGTTCAATATAAACAACCTAACCTCTGAGATTTCAGTGAGGCCAGCAAGCGATCTACTCACATTGAACAAGCAGAACACAAACATGCAGAAATGTGACATCTTCACTGTTTTTTTTAACATCCAACCAACAGGTTTTTAATCTCTAAACCAGTGAGTGTGCTTACACACTGTTCTCGTAGTGGTATGAAGACAGCAAGATTTAACCAACCAAGGGTGACCTGCAAGCACCCAACGCCTCCCCCATTGCGTTCCTGGAACTTGATTTTAGCACTACCTTCTAAGGTGGGCTGAAAGTTAGCTCCGGGGAAGAACCTCCAAAGTGAGTGGAGGGTAATAGAAGCAAATGCAGAACCTGCGACATGCAATACATGTTTAGACACACTTCAGTAGGTTCCTATGGTGAAACTGTTAGCCAAAGATGACATGCCTTTCTGAAATTATATTTCAGAGGTCAAGATGTGGTTATAGACTACTACTTCTTGTAGGAGTTTATGATCAGACAGTGCCCTCTGTTGACATGTTACTCAGCAATGGAATATGTACTCAATATTTACATAAACAGTAATGCCACCCTGCATGTATGTATATAAGAAGCATTTAATGTTGTAGTGTTGTATCTGGTGGAGCTAGCTTCAACTACTACTGCAGAATATCATTACCTATGATGTTATTGTCAAAAATGATCAAGGCTGAAATACTAAAATTCTCACCCATTTCATTAGTACTGCACTGAAGTCGTGCCTCTCTTGGTGTGTTCTGGGGCAACAGCACCAGTGTGTTGCCCTGTACACTTATAGTCAGGGAAAAAATTATTTGAACCCCAGCTGATTTTGTAAGTTTGCCCAATAACAAACAAATGATCAGTCTACAATTTCAATGGTAGGTTTATTTGAATAGTGAGAGCCACAACAATAACAAAAGCATTACAAAAAAAGTTATACATTCATTTGCATTTTCATAAATGAAACAAGTATTTGATCCCCTATCAGTCAGCAAGATCTCTGGCTCCCAGGTGTATTTTATACAGGTAACAAGCTGACATTGGGAGCCCTCTCAGCTCGTTACCTGTATAAAAGAGACCTGTCCACAGAAGCAATCAATCAATCCAGATTCCAAACTCTTCACCATGGCCAAGACTAAAGAGCTTTCAAAGGATGTCAGGGACAAGATTGTGGACCTACACAAGGCTGGAATGGGCTACAAGACCATCACCAAGCAGCTGGGTGAGAAGGTGACAACAGTTGGTGCGATTATTCGCAAATGGAAGAAACATAAATTAACTGCCAATCTCCCTCGGTCTGGAGCTCCATGCAAGATCTCACCTCGTGGAGTTTCAATGATAATGAGAACGGTGAGGAATCAGCCCAGAACTACTCGGGAGGAACTTGTCAATGATCTCAAGGCAGCTGGGACCATAGTCACCAAAAAAACAGTTGGTAACACACTACGCCG